ATGTAGCTCTTTAAACCAAGCCTGTCAGTTGTCTTGCAATTATACGAGCAATTAGGCTTACGCTGATGTTTGTGCACACTTCCTGAACCCAAACAGGCATGAATATTTCAGCAAAAACCTGTTAAACCGCGGAGCAGGAAAACGGCACTGCCGTGCATTACTGTGGCCCCCGGAGACGGAGACCTGACACTGAGAGCATGACACCAGCCACAAGATGAAAATGCGAATTGCACTTTTTTTTTAATAAAAGGTAAACTCCCTGTTACAGCCCTGACTTCCATTTGTCATATTTGTGTTTCGACATGTGTGGGCTGCGGTGCAGCAGTGCAGGGATTTGGAGATCTGGTGGAGGTGAGGAAGTCATAAATTGCATTTTTACATTATTGATAAGTGTTTTTTTTCTTTTTCTTTCTCTTGGTAATCAATGGGCCCCCACGTTTGGAAAAGCATTGAACATAAGGAGAGAAACAAGCCACAGGCTGTTTGTTCAGAGGACAGGAGTTGTTTCTCACCTGAGTAAAGTGTACGGAGACACAGGATGTCCAACAGTCCAACAGGCTGCAGCAGTGCTGGCCGAACTCTCTCACCTTTACGGTTGGCATTCGGGCGTCATTCACTGACACGTCGTGACTCTGACATGTCAGCAGGACGTTAATGAGTGGTTTAGTAACAAGCGGTAGGCTGTGACGTCCGTGCCTTCAGGTGTCTGTGTGCATGACAAGTGGATGTGATCAGGAGTAGGAATCGACAGAGTTTGAATCAAAATTGTGACAATATGATTCTCCGGGAAACAAAAACAGGCGTGTTCTATAGAAGCAGCTTTTACATAAAGCCTCAGGAGCCTTCCCAGCTTATATTTCTTCGAGAAATCTTTTAATGTCTCCAGACGGTGAGGGCATCTTAAACACAGAGCCTTTAGTCTTTAATACAGATGTTTGTTATGTTCATATACTGTGACGGGGCTTTGTAAAGGCCAGACTGCAGCACGCACTTCTGCGGATGTTTGTTTCTGTGTCTTATTCAGGTGGATTTAATGCTGCAGTTGCTTTAATTCCCTTTCTTCCCACAGACTAGTTTTCACCTCAACAGGATTCTTACAACAACATCAGGGTTGTTCTGAGACCAGCATTCTCATCTGTGCACCACCTCAAATACCCCCTTCGGTTTCACCATCACTGTGGGGTAGGCGTTGTTTCCGTTCTTCTCAAACACTGCCCCCCCACAGTCCCCCCCTACATGAGTGGTATTAAAGCTGAATTATTTTCTTGGTCTGTAAACTACAATGTTTAATAAATCTTTCTCAGAACACACAGTGAGATAAAGATAATAAAATTCTTCCTTAAATCAAATATAAAGATATTAATTATATAATATATCATTTGGATTGGAAGTTTGGTGGGCCGGATTAAAACCCTGAATGAGCCACATCCGGCCCCTGGGCCTTAGTTTGCCCATGTCTGTTCTATATAATAGACTTAGTACTTTCAAAATAATTTTCTTAGAGGGTCTAATTATTTGCCCCCAGGAGTAATTAGAAATGAACATGTTGCCAAAGATTCATTACTGTTCTGTTCACTAGACTCTCATGAGTTGTTTTGAGCTAAATTATTTGCACATTACGTCCTGAACAGGATGAACAGATTAGGTTGAGAATAATGTGAATGCAATATGGGAAAAGAAATTAATTAAGTTGCCCTGAAAAACACAAACCTAATGGTTAAATTTATAGCCGTGATAAAGACGTGCATGTAAGAAAAAAAGAGGCTGTAGATTAAATTGTCTTTGTCTGTGGATCTGGAACAAGGGGAGGACCAGCAGAGAAATCCAGCCTCAGAGTCAGAGTCCTATTCTACTGCTGTCAGTCTAATGAGGCTGTCAGTCATTCCTCGGAGCAGACGCTCATGGTCTGAGAGGGAGAAGTCTACACCACACCGGCTGCATCCTCAGGAGACGGTGCAGCCCTTGAATGGGAGAGACATCAGTGAGAGCAACAGTGTACAGAGGGAGAGTGAGATTACATTGAGCCTGCTGAGAAATCACAGGGTGGAGGTTTGAGCACAGCTCGGGCTTTCTGTCCACAAAGTCCAAAGGTAATTCTGTCTGTGTAAACACACTAACAGCACCTCACTCACCGAGTGGCCAATCACGGCTGTTTGCCGTAGATTGTGTCCACGCCAGGACCAGTCCGAGCACGGGGCTAGTTTGCTGGAAGAATAGTAGAATTTAGATCGAATGGAATTGCAGTAAAAACACGATTTAATTTAGATTGAATGGAATTGCAGTAAAAACACGATTTATCGGACAGAAGGACAAAAGACCAGTGTTGTTTTTAAAGTCCAAACAAGTTCTATTTGATAAATACAAACATTTTGCAAATTGATACATGAAAAAAAGTTTAAAAAAGGCAGGTTTAAAACTCTGTCACATCCAGTTCACACTTCTTGTTACTTGTAATCAGTCAGGAACTGAATTACAGTAACTGTTAAAGACAAGGATTCTCAATAAAAAATAATATATATATATATATATATCAATATATTTTAGAAATATATATAATACATATATATACAGTATATATATCTTTTTTTACCTGTTATTATGGGACCAGCAGTCCCATAATAACAGGTTTCATTTGAAGTGAGTGGATGAACTTTTTTTTAAAAAAAAGACTGGGTTTGCGACTCTGTTTTCTTGACTCACTCCTGTCACTAATTGAGTGAATGAAGTCAAACGCAGAAAGTTTTACATCGGCTTCACTTTGTTCTTTTCATGGTGATGTGCTGAAATGTCTTTGATCAATGCACATTTATTCAGTACGGTTCCCCCTGGTCTGAAACTTTCGGGGTCCTCCAGTGTCACTTCTATCTAAATATTAATCTGAAAGGCTGGACATGGACAATGATATGCTCTGAGAATATATTTGTACTAGACCAAAGACGGCAGAGTGGACCTGCGGTGTCATCTTTGTTGTTTGGAAAATCTTCTGGATTTGTTTTCCTGCCTCTGCTTCTCTAACATATTTGCTCCCTTTAATCTTCCCCTCGAATCGGCAGTTGGCATCAAGACTCATGGGTGGAAATGAGCCACTCAGATGCCATCATGGCCGCACAATCTCTTTTGGACAGCGGGAGCGTTTCTGTCGAGCAGCTTTGCCTCGTTTCTGCTCATCTTGTTGTGAGAGTACTCTGGTGGACACGTTGGCTTCCCATTGCTCTTCTCCTACGAAACCATTTGCACTCACAGTTGTAGTTGAAATCCAGCGCCAGAAGTGTGTTTTTAGCTTCAAAAAAGTTTTCTATACTTTCTCTCAGTTTCAGTGGGTTTTTTTTTCAATGAATATTTAAATGACTTTGATGAGGAAATATTCAGTCCTGCTCACACTCAGACTGTGTTTCAATGGAAAAGTGTTGTTAGCCTCACAGATCATGATTAAGTGTGTGATGGCATTTTTTCACTGTCAAAACCGTAGAAGCTATTTTGGCAAGACTTATGTTGTGAATTTCAACTATGCTAATTCCCTTTAAAAGCACTTCTTTGATGCTGTTCTCAACCTCAGTGTGGTATACAGTCAGGAAGGGCATTTAACATGCAAATCCAATCCTTTAATTCGGCCCATGATCGGAGCCAAAAGACAAAGGGGAAATATGGTCATATCTACGTTATTAAGATTTTTCATTTCGGTTGGGTGCTAGAGGCCTCCAGTGAGACGTAATGGTTGTCTTCATATGAGATCTGGCCTCCCTTTATTACACTGCTGTAATACTGTTACTCCTCACAGCTCGGATCAGATTCCATTTGAATGTTGTTCTGTGGGTTTTAACCTCACGGCTTTAATCATGTACAACATACAACCTCAGGTCAGAAGAACTGAGCCTCAGCAGATGGGCGGACTTGTAGGAGAGAGAAGGTGAGAGAAGATGGTTGCAACCATCGGACGCAATACACGGAACTGAACTAAAATGAACTAAAAACACTGGAAAAAGAAATAAATTCGATTCCAAATTCACTAGAACACAACAGGCAAAAAGATGAAAGAAAGAATGAAAAACCAAACAAACTCAGAAGATTTGTTATGGAGGAAGATGATCAGGTTCATTATGATCAGCTCCATTATGAGCTCCATGAGGTTTAGGGACCGTAGTTTGCTTCTTTTGATTTTCACAGGGGAAGAAATTAAAAAAAAAAAGTCTTTCTGTAACAACCCCTGGTCGATGCAGTGCTTTAACTGGCATTGTCGTCTGCATGAAGATGTGAAGTGGCCAATAGCGTCATCTGATTGAATGACATCAGTAGCTTTTTTTTTCCCTATAAAAACCCACAGACAGGATGGAATTAAGTCATTATGTTCCTTGACATTTGCTTCTCCACTCATTGTGTTATTAAAGCATACACTTCAAAACCATGA